AGATCATTCAACACAATAAATGCCATGTTTAATATGGATATAGATCGATTTTTTTTTTTGGTTGTCCCTTTCTTTACTGTATTTTATTTTAATGTATTTTCTGTCTATTTTATTGTTGATTACAGTAATTGATGAATCAGTGAATAAATGACTGCGATAGTAAAAAAAATACGAACAAATAAGGTAGACTGGTTACAGAAAGACTGTCTTAATGACGGGCTCATGATGTGTAAATTTAATGCATTCGTATTATATTTTATTATATTTTCTTTAAAAGAGAAACTTTTTACAGCCAGCATCAATTCAATCCGCAGATATCAAGGAAAGCAAATATCAACATTAAGTATAAATATATAGACATGCTGTTTTTAAATAAATACTAAAGCAAAAGAGTCGGATCCTGGGGCATAGGGATAGAGCCCCTCCCCAAAAAGAGCTAAAAAGAAGAAAGAAAGGAATAGTGGAAGAGAGAAGAGAGAAAATGGTATTCAAAGCGCAGCATGATACCTCTATAAAAGTTGTAATTTTTGCACTCTTATTGATTATTTTGAATTGACTAAACCACGCTAGAGCAGGGAAACTGGGGAGCTTGCCCGTCCTTGAGTAGGTAACAAAATATTTATTAGGATTTGTTGAGCAACCTAAACTGTATGGTGTTTGCACTAAAGGGACATTTACAGTGAGGTAACGGCGAGTCAGGGGGCCCGGGGGTGAGAATGAATTGGGGGCTCCTGTAATGTATATAAGTTGAGTAGTTTTGCCCACGAATTAGGCGAAGAGGATATGTTTTTGTGGCGCAAAATTTCCTCTCTCAAAAGAATAAAACGAGTAAAGAGAGACTGCATTAAGCAATACTATATTTAATGATATGGGGCCTGTTGTGCGACTATTCTGCTATTTAACTACGGAATCAACTTGATCGTTTACAAATTGAAAATTTAGTCTTGTTGATCTGTAAATCATACTTACGCATCGGTATTTAGCATTCACCGTTACATTCACTTAGAAAACAAATATGAATATAAAACTTGTTATTTTCTGTAAAGAAGATTAAAAAGTAATCTTAAATCTCATTACCCAGCAATCCATCGTTAAGCCAATACTTGAGCATTGAAGTTGTCATAAGGTGCAATCTAACAACCGGCTCTACCTCATGAGCCCAATTGGTCAAGATTTACATACCCTGCACCCCCAAATAGTAATCCTGGACAATGCCGTAACCAAAATTTTCAAACAGTGCGGTACAATATCAGGGTGGACCCACTTTACGCATAAGTTCAAATAATGTGGACCCATTTTTTAAAAAAATTTGACCCATTTTACGCAAAAATATGAAAAATCTGGACCTATATTCCTAAAATTGAATTTAAATATGAGAAATCTGAACCCATTTTTCAAAAAGTGGACCCATTTTATGTATGAAATTGCATAATTTAGACCCATTTTTCAAAATTTGGACCAATTTTTTGTGGGGGTTTATTGCTACTAGAAACTGGACTGTAAGCACACAGGCGTTACGCCATTGGTCAAAGCTCCTCCGGGGCACCTTTGATTTGGGGGCCTGTCGCTGCGCCCCTGAGAGCTCACGGGCATTAAGCCACTGGAACTTACATCGATTAAATTCGCTACCTTAACAATAATGACCAGTTCTCAGTAATTTAAACTTTCTATATTGTTTGATCAAAATTTCTCTCTCTTCCAACAACTTTTAAAAATTTTCATTTTTTTCTCACTCATTCACACTCATTCCGCGTTTCCTTCCTTTGCGAACTTTTTTATTTTGTTTACGTCTGCTGCTTGCGCATGAGTTAATGGAATCTGGTTCTGACATTGCCCTCGGCAGACGTACACCACTCGAGTGATGTTTCGATTGGTCAATAGTAATATCTCCAGGGAGAGGCGTGACATCGTCTTTATACAGAACTTTTCCAATGGCGGGAAAGCGAATGGAAGTCAAATGTTTGTCTTCTCTTCTGTAAGTAGGTCTATTTGTTTGTTTGTATTTACTATGTTCTTGGGTCACATGTTTCAATGGTTTCAACATTGGCATTTTCGATTTTGAGTCATTTTCAATCTCTTTCGAATTTGGTAGTTTCTGTTTCAATTCAATACCAGTGACATTTAGAGCCCTCGGGGATACTCTGGGTGATACTATTCTCTTCCGCTTACTTTTTCTGTCGGTTAGCAATTCATTGATTACCTTATCGTCCTCACATGTGTATTTCTGATATTCTTTCCTATGATCTTCAATTGCAATAAGTGAATTCTGAACTTCTATCCTTTGTCGATTTAATATCGTCTCTGTCACGGCTCGCTCTCCGTCAATTCGTTTGATTAATAAATCAAGGCGCGCCTTTTCAACATCATTGAGAACTGATGTCCTGTTGGTTGTCCGTCTCCGTTGCTTGATAATTGCGTCGAATTTAGCGTTGGTAGCGGATTCGGAAATACCCACATCAACCCGGCTCTCACCAGACAGAGAGCATGCTCTTAGAGGATCCAAGTAACTTCCTGAAAATGAATAACGTAACGATAATTATTCCAAAAAAATATAATAAAAGTAATAAAAATAACAAAATTATTATTATTATTATTATTATTATTAATAATAATAATAAGAATAATAATATTGTAATTATTAATAATATTAACAAAAAGATAAAGATAATGATAATGGTATAATAATATAGGCATGATCATTGTCGATGATGATGATGACGACGACGATATATATATTAATAATGACGATAACGCTTATGAAGAATATGATAATAGGCCTACAGGCCTATACTTAATATCTATCACTTTCAATCCAACTTTAACACGCAAGTCTTTGTTATCTGAGTGACTGTCAACCCCAAATTTACTGTGGATTTATACTGCATTACTGTAACTCATCGTTGCCATTGTTAAAATCAGCGTATCCAAAAGAGTGGGTCAATTTACCACCCTTTCCTTCCACCACCAGGCAAGGTATGGTCACGAAAGAAGTTATTCTATGCCATGCACTCATTGTGGCGAACTGCTTGTGAGTTTCTAGATATCATCCGTTTTCCATACAGCACTGCTAAGGAAGTAAGGATACGAAAAGGACTAGTATTTAGGCCTATGTGACAAGCAGTAGGGGAAGGGGAATGCAACAATCCCTCTGATTTTGAGAAGAGTACTACAATGGAATGACGTCCGTGCCATAAAGTAAACTATAAGGTTGTGTAGACGTCTATCATCTCTGGTATCCTTAAGCAATTATAGCCAGGTTTTGAATACACACATAGAAGCCGAAGGAGCTATTATTTCCTGAAAAAAACTGCCTAAAGCCTACAGGAGGTCATAACTGAATAGAGTAATATAGGCCTCTTATGATCAAAAGCTTCTAGCGACCCCAGATTAAGATAATATGTAGGTATAGGACGGTGTAAATATGGCAGATAATAATTACAATACCTGAGGATGATCTAGCATCAGTCACGGAATTTCTCTTTCTCATTTCTCGTAGATCTAGTGTTGTACGTCAAATTGGTATAGTATATATTAGCCTATTGGAAAACGCCCTTGTTTAGTTAATACTATATTTCAGATCTACCAGGGGTTTTTATTTTCTGCAATTAAGCCCGCTATTAGTGATAAGTACCGTAACTTGTGAACTTTACTTGTGTAAAGAAATACGTTGTAAGCAAATAAAATCTGTCTTGTCAGTTTTCATATGGAGATTAGACCTAGAGATATTACGATACAGAGTCCAAATTTGAAATGTTATTCCGCACATAGAGAAATATTGTGTTTATTTTGTATTAAAACTTTTTGATATGATGACTCTAAAATCAATCCATACTACCTCGGAGACCCATTCTCCATCCACATTATAACTTTGTTCAAGAATCTCCCTCTTGGAAATCGGATTACACTGTTAAAATTACGAAGAATTAAATCAGTCACTAAACAAGTCGTGGAAGAGATTAGGGTGTTAAAAATATGAACTAATTAGAAAACTGACATCATTCTCAGTTGTCAACTGGTTTTACGTGTATTATATATGTACAACTCATATCTATTTATTCCTAAAATACATTATCTGACTGCAAGTTTAGATTATAGCACATGGTCTTTGGATGTGACGATTAAGCCGATGGTCCTGTGTGATATGTGGTTTTAGATGTACTAGTTTTTTAATCATGTATGTCATTGTATTCTAAATGTTAACGTCTAAATAATTATATGATATGATATCAGTGGTGGATTTAGGAATTAGAAATAGAGGTTCCGATACCATGGTTGGGGCTGTGGTAAGAAAATGTATGACTATGGCACTTGTATGGCACTGACAGATGTAAAATTTGAACATAAATTTCTTTGTATCTACATTTTTTTTTACTTAGGGGCCCGGGTCGAGTGGTCACCCTTTAATCCATCACTGGATATAATATGTTCTACACTCGATGTCAGAGACACATTATCTGTTATGCATAAACAAATCTCTTATGGTTCAGTGTGCTAGATCGAATACCCTATTGGAGGGGCCATTAAGGGGCCCCTGTGCCGGGGCCCTGCGGACCGCCGCAAGAGCGCGTGTTACTGCCCAATCATCACCAGAGCTGAAGGACCCCACTGAAAATAAATCTTCGGACTTTCGTGAGTTGTCGTTAGTGTGTTTCTCAGAGAAGAAATCCATTTTAATCCAATAATGCCTGGCTTAACTTATAAAGCTTTAAATAGTTTGATAATTAGTTAAATCAAAATGATTAAAATAGCGTCATTAAATATTGTTTTTATTACTCCATTAGGAAAAGCTCGTGAAATTTTGTAGTTAAACATTTACATCTTTCAATGATTCGAATCCTGCATAGATAGTTTAATACAATATGTGATAAACTTGAGAATAGCTAATAACAGCTTCAAGGTCGAAACAGCTAAAAGCGGACATAAAGAAAGTAGTTACGATTGATGTACGTCTTTAGCAAAAGCTGTTTAGGCCTAATTGAATTTCGCACTTCAAAAACCGATTATTTCCGATAACCTTTTAAATTATACTTTAATAGTGAAATACATTAATATTTAAGTGTTGTGACAGAGCTAATCACAACAGAAATACGGAACATTTTAATGACATATCGGAGTAAGTGCGAGTACGACCTGGTGTAGGCGTGGGATAGATAAAAAGAAAAAAATAGGTAATCCACAGTAATGAAAATAACAATAAGGGAATAATCCTCATCGTTTGAAAGAAAATCGATTAGGAAGATTTGTGCAGCACCAGATATGAATTGGATTGGATTCCTTCGGTATACATCTAGGGTATTCCACGAAGCCTGAAGACTTATTCCCAGTGGGTGCTTCTGGTGGTTTAATGGGCAATGCACCAGGAGACATTTGCTCTTTTTAAGAGTGCATGCGTCTTCAACGTCCACATGAGTTATATTTTCTCCGTGATTGAACATAGAACCCACGACATCAATATAGCCTATGTTTCGAATTGCGATATTATAACTTGTATTTCAGTCTAGCTGAAACACAAGAAGAGTAGTAATGGAATTGAAATATGAATAAGAAAATAGAACATCTTATTTTTGTATTGAATCAAACATTACGTGCACACAGGAAAAACAATTTTGCTTCGTGCTGTCTGAAAGTTTTACGCTTAACACAAGACCTAAAAAAATAAACACTTGATCTAAATAGAAAACCAACGTAAATCGATTACCCGACATATCAACACGTACAAGTTAAACCTTGTAATTGCTTTCTGCACCATTCCCACCATTTTAATCTCCCATTGGTACATTAACACATGAAGTTCTTTTGGCGATAATCTAGATATTAACATTCTAAAAGCTTAGTTGCGATTGTGAGTTTCCTCACGATTGATCGTCAACTATAATACTTTTTTTTTCTGAATGTATCATCTCTATATGATGCCATGTAATTAATATTGTGAAAGTAATCATAGCCCTTTGTAATTTTCCGGTACATTTAGAAAGATTGATTGTGATAGCAAGTAGGCCTAAACCTCATTCCAATCGCGTTGAACTGTTTACATTACGATCACATGTCTCAGCAGTAGAATGCTGAGACATGTGAATTATAAGCCGAACTTATAGATATAGTTTATATATTTAATTATTATTTGAAGTGCCGTTCTGATGATATTGACGTCAGTCTTGAACGCTTTGTTCAGACTTTGTTGCGGTGCGGGATGCTGGTTGAAAAGTTTGGTGCAAATGCTGATTATTGTGTGTTTCTAGGAGACCTTTTAAGCATAGCGCACACGGACGGACCGTTACGCTAAGCCGACAACATAAGAAAGGAAAAGGAAAGAAAAGATAAGGTAACATAGGAAAGGAAAAGGAAAGAAATGATAAGGAAACATAAGAAAGGAAAAAGAAAGGAACATGGGATTGGGAAATACATGCAAGTGTTGTTTGGGAGTAAAGAAAAGAAATGACAAGCCAAACACATAACAAAATGTAAACAATGAAATAGTTGAATTGATAGGAAAATCTAAAATAAAATGGATAAAGAATAAAGAAAATGGAATGTGGAGGTAATTGAGATAAAAACTTGGTTGACATTTAGATAATTAAGCATTAATAATTATTATATAAATAAAATTAATAAAAAAATTAAATAAATAAAGCATAAAATTAACCTGTTTTTTGTTTTGATTGCAAAAGATTTTCGCTCACTATTTTAATCATCTTTTCTTTTAATTCTGTTCCGGCTTTTGCTTTTAATGTAAAATGCATAGAGGTTTATAGCATTCTGCGCTATATAAAAATAAATTTATTATTATTATTATTATTATTATTATTATTATTATTATTATTATTATTATTATTATTATTATTATTATTATTATTAATATTACTATTATTATTATTATTATTATTATTATTATTATTATTATTATTATTATTATCGTAAGAGAGTATAATACATACTCCAAGTATCGAAATGCACGCCATCGTGTCGGGATTCAATATTTCGACATTAATTATTATGTCATCATCAGGAATGGAAAATTATCCATATTAGGAAGCTTATATGTGTTTGACCAATCAAAACATTACCCCTAGTAGGTGACATTATCGTAAGCGTAAACGTAAACATACATGCACGTACCGTACGTTTTGTCGTACATTTTGTGGGACAATTTGTAATACAAGCGCTTGTTCCTGACCCTGCCCTAATCAATTGCCCTAATCAATTGCTGCATTTGATTACACCGGAAAAGTTCATTAAGTATTTACATTTTTATTTTTTTTTTTGGGTGTGGGGGAAGGGGGGTTGTGCAGTGTTATGTTTAATTAAACAGTCAATACTACAGTGTTTACGTTTTGGTGTGATGCAGCATGGACTAATGTAATTTCATGTTTCTTATATATTTTCATGCTAGTGTTGTGTAGTGTGGTTATGTTTAATTAAAACTTTAGCAGGGGTGGATCCAGAATTTTTCAAACGTGGGGGCACAACAGGTTCAGAATAGATAAGTGAGAAGCACATAGCATTATTATGCATTGAAATTTTTAAAATTTAGAGGCAAAACCGGGGGATCCGCCCCTGTTTACCTGCTTTGAAATTGGATGTGACTGCTTCTCTCTCTGAGTGCCTTTGTGAACCTAGCTTGTAAGCTTGTTTGAAATACTTGCAAGCAGCGCTGAAATCTCCCATTTGTAGGTACATCTATAAAGTAACAATCAAACAAAAATTTATTATTTATTTATTTGAAAAGCAACAAGATAGTATAATACATACTCCAAGTATCGAAATGCACGCCATCGTGTCGGGATTGAATATTTCGACATTAATTATTATGTCATCATCAGGAATGGAAAATTATCCATATTAGCAAGCTTATATGCACAAGTACCAAAAGTGTTTGACCAATCAAAACATTACCCCTAGTAGGTGACATTATCGTAAGCGTAAACGTAAACATACATGCACGTACCGTACGTTTTGTCGTACGTTTTGTGGGACAATTTGTAATACAGGCGCTTGTTCCTGACCCTGCCCTAATCAATTGCTGCATTTGATTACACCGGAAAAGTTCATTAAGTATTTACATTTTTATGTATTCTTCAGATATTATATGTACCAGAATGAAGGAATAGCCCGTCCGCTCTATCAGACATGCGACTAATACAACGATCACAAATCAACAGTCATGGATGTATTTTAATTTGAGAAATAACCACTGGAACGCAACAGAGTCGATTGCTGATTATTACCAGGAGAGGATCCAGAGATGTCCAAAAGTGGGGGGGGGGGCGAAAGGGGGACCGAAAGTTGGACCGATCGAAATAACACTGTCTTAGGGGGTCCGGGGGCCTGCCCCCGCGAAATTATTGTGTTCTAGACACCCGAAAATAACATTTGAGGCTTTCTGGGCTATCATCTTTTTCTTTTTTCCGCCCCCACCTCCCACCCTAAATCCGCCCCTAATTACTATTATTATTACTGATTCTTACTAATATTAACATTCATGCGCTAAGTGGCCGCGTCTTACCTGTGTCTCCTCTGAACATTTTCACTTAGGTGTTGGGTCACCAGGGTTGGTTTCACCGAATGGTTGTGTTTTCACGGAGGGGTTGGGTCAGTAGGTGGTCAATTCCATCTTTCCTGTAATGTATGAATTTACAAGATTACTGAAAACAAATCATTCAAAAAGGAAAGAAGGTTTTCATAAATATAATAAATAATAATTATTAATAGCAATAATAATGATACTAATTATTAGACTTTTAGCGTTATAGTAACATATTAACTCTTAAAATTATGGTACAGTAAGTAAAACCGCAATAGCAAACATGAACATTATTGAAAACAAGGCAGGCCGTCAAAGAGAGGTTTTCAAGACGGATTAAATGAATCTTGAACATGAATGAACCATGGACCTATTAATAGGTCCATGAATGGACAGTCCAGCGGGAAAGGAAAAGACGTGAGTCGTGTTGACTTGACATTCGAAAACGGTAAAACATTATGGCAGAGAACTTAACAGAGAACTACAAAATAAGTGAAAATTGATACAAACTTCACGCAACATCCACAAATAACTATGCGCACATAAGCACTGACATGTCTATGACAAAATATGCCTGGACCTATCGTGGGTAAGTCCTTGACGACACACCGTTGTCCGAACCACCTTCCTTCAACAGAATGCCGATTTCGTCTGCAACGTGACGTTCCATACAATACAAAATTTCAGGACACACGTAGTAGACCTACCTGTGCAACATCTTACCAGTTACCTGACATTGTTTACCTCCATAATAATATGATACAGTGAGTTTTAATTAAAGTCAAATGGTGTGCTTGCATCCGATACGATGTGATTATACCGTTTGACTTCTGGTGTCGACAAATCGATCTGTTGTTTCGATTCTATTGGGTGTATTCAGAGGGGAATGTCTCCAAGGTTAATTGAAGGAATAAGTTACACAACAATATACCATGAATACATTGAAAGAAACACGATTGATGATCAAGTTCGAACACAAAGAAAGAATTACCGCCTCCTTGGTTTAAAACAATCGGCCAATTAAAAGGTTTAGACTAGTTGAATGTTAATTATGTTTCGTCGTCAGGTAACTTTTTATGTTCACTGCGCTGGGGTCAAAAGGATAATGTATAGGCCTATTGTATTTACTTTATCGATTTGTATTAGTAAGCTTATCCTTTCTGTTATTAGTATAGTACCGTACATCTAAGTTGGGACAATTTCAGATAATTAATACCATGATTACAGACGTTGGCACAATGGCAACGTCATTGATATTGGTAAATAGGCCCCCTACAGATTTTAGAAACGGAGTGCATACTGATAGGCGCGTTATTGTTATTATGATTTATAGATTTAAAAAATGTAATTGGTTATTTTGTTCATTTTTTTAAAGATGGAAACCGTCTGTGCTAAGCTGAAAACCTTCCATTGTTTGCGCTCAGTACGTTTACGTTGTGGTTTTGTGGGATCTTGGCAACAATATCCAAAAAACGGGGCTTAGCGAAACGGTCCACTGAATTTATGGGAGGTTTTCATATTTTATGAGAGTCAGATTAACCATTATTTTGAAGAGGTACCGGTACAGTTCAGAAAAATAT